AATGAAAGAAAAGCACCTTGTTTATTATATTAAAATGAGACTAAGGGTCAAATTTGCAGACCGCTGATCTAACAGGACTTTCTATCCTAATTCATCTGCTAAATCATATCATAATTCTCCATGCTTACTTCTTCCACCAGGGCCTAAGTGCCAAATTATACTTTTCTCATGTCAATAAAACTCTAATTGTCTTTTCTATGAGTTTTTCTGGGTTAAATACTATTTAAACATGATCGGTTTTATATACAACGAAATGTTCTTTACCCAGAACCAGGAAAGCTGTTTGTGCATTTCTGTTGATAAAGGTCAATTTTAGAACCAGCCATGCAGCTTTATTTTGCTCCCTTATGAAGGGGGAAGTCAGATCAGAGAACTGGAAGTTTTAATATTCAGTCTGTTCTTTTTACTCAAGCATCATTTTAATCTCTTTCTTTTTCCCAGGACTGAGCAGCAGAAATAGGAAATACTTTTTGTTTATTTCTGCTGCAGGGAAAATGGAAAACACAGAACTGAGATCTTTAATAACTTTAATTACTACAAAGATGCAGTAGGACAGATAAAATGGTTGCACAGCTCCCTGAAGATGTGCTCATACCTCTTGAACTTTCTCATATTCTGTCATGTTACAACCACAAACCTACATGGATGTTATTTAAGAACATGACGAGAACAAGAAAAGGAAGTGAGCGTTTAGGAAGTGGCCGGGGAAAGAAAGAATTAATCATAGAAGCTGTCGACAGCTCCGTGGTAACTCTGGTGGAGCTGCAGAGATTCACAGCTCAGGTAGAAGAATCAGGACAAGAACATGATCAGTCAAAGCTGAGTGGTAGGAGCTGCATAGAGAAGGTATTCTGGTTAGGTTAGATGAAGCTGAAGGTTTTGGCCTACAATGCTATATGCAGCTGACAGCTAACAATGCACTAACCCCAAGCTCACCATTAAAACCAGCACACATACTGGCAGCAGCATTCTGCAGCTTAGAGAGAGCAGCTGGTCAGCAGGAGAAGAAGAAAAGCTAAATATCTGGACATTTACTCTGCTATGGGCAACATTGTCTGTCCTAAGTGCATCATTTATTTTAGACATTTAAAATGGGCTGATTAGATACACTTAAAAAGTCTCTGGTTATTCTTATTACAATGTTTTTACTTTGACCCCCCCCCCCCCCCAAAAAAAAAAAATCTAAATTTCAGTTATGTTTTATTTTACTTTGTCTCCTCTTTGAGATCACAATCAGGCACCAAGGCCGTTAGTCTGAGCACAATGACAATAAAGTCCCTCTATTCTATTCTATTCTATTCTATTCTATTCTATTCTATTCTATTCTATTCTATTCTATTCTATTCTATTGTATTCTATTGTAT